GCACCACTTTATTTTTAATGATTTTTTATGGTTTTCGTACGGTTTTAAAAATAAAATAAAGGCTGTTTCCATATGTTAAGGAGTGAAGTGTTATGTGTTACTTGGATAAACTATGAGCTTGATAGGGTTAAATGGTATATATTAAATGTCTCTGGCATGTCCTGTTTATGAAGATTATTCGCAACCAACTCTATGGAGCAGATTCCCTGTTGGGAAGCTAATAGTCGCTCATCTAGTCAAACGATTCTCTGCCTCTTATGGAAACTGAAAATTCATTACCTTGTTTGCACAAGTCTGACAATGGAGCGAGATAAATACAACCCACATCCTTACTCCCTGTCTCATCACGATCTGTTCTAATATTATCGATCCATCTACACCTACGTCTACCTAGTGGTATCTTCCCTTCAGTATTTTCGGCTCAAGTGTATGAATTTATCATTTGCACCACTTTTTCTGAATTCCCCGCCCATATTTTCCCACATTATGAAGTTAGTTTCGCAGGTTTTTCCTCTTCTGTCTCTCATGTACAAATGTCGTAGGCCTAGTCTTACTAGGCTTTAGTTCGTTAGGTAACGATCAAACTTAAACAATAATGTTTTTATGCATTGACAAACATGTTCAGATTTAACGTACGTTTTCCCATCTCGTCCAATATTGAATCTGCACAAAGGAAATTGTAACATTGTGTTACAGATTTTGTCGTAATGTTATAATCGATAATATACTTTTATAAGAATTAATGGAATGTTTAAATAACGTAAAAGTAAATGAATTGTAGGTTTATTTTAACATTCTCTTGGATAATTTTGTTATTTCCGAAATGGAAAATAATCAAGCGAATTTTATAAAAATTAAAGAGGCACTGTTTTGTATGGCGAAAACGCGACACTAGTTTAGGGTAATAAGTGGAAGTATATTTAAGCTCTTATCTCCTCGCTGTATATCTTCGTTTCTTAAAGTAGCGTAGCAGTTATGAGCTACGATGTTAAAATAACGTACGTGAACATAACATGCAAGATATCTTCCACTAGGGACCTTCCGGGCTTGAGGTGATCCTTGGCTTCGCAAAGTGTTCTTAGTATGCAAATATGACCATCAACGCCATGCCTAGAAACAAAACACAAAAGATTGTTTTGAGATTTGAGGTACTTAGGATGATGAAAATGTCGACTGTGGTCTTCGAAAAATTTACGCCGTGTAATCTCGTAAGTAGTTACCACCGTTTCGAAATATCGTATTTCCCGAATTTCAACCCACCTGATGAAGACTATATATTATTTCGAACTGCTGATAACCACCCACAAGACTACACCCAAAAGGCCACAATCGACGAAAATTTTATTATACTAAATTTATTTATAGACTATATACTCACTCCATGCTGTATTTGTGTATGTCAGAATGTGAAAATAGAGTCTCATTGTACAACCTCTATGCATTTCGGTGTGGAGCTAATAAAATTATTGTGAGACTAATGAAAAGATAGTCTGATCAAATATATGTTACCACAACATCACGATCACAGAAACAGATTTTAATGAATAGCGTTGTTACTTTATATAACCACTGAAGATATTTCATGTTTCATTCAAAACTGTTTCGATTCTTTCATGGTTACTTACACGTCCAGGATTCCCTCGATGCTGCGGTACAGTTCCCGTCTTTCTCTTCTGTGGAGGTAATAGTCTATCTCACAGGTCTTCGAGTACCTGCGATTTCTCGTGCCGAAAGTCAGCCGGGTGTTATTGGGCAGCTTGAAGCCGAGATCCCAGGCCATGACGATGTTCCATCTCGGGATTGGAGAGTTCGTGCGTTCCCATATCAATCCCGTCGACATGACCACCTGCAGCTGCAAACATCAAAATACGGAGTTATCACGGCCACGGAAAAAGATGGTGTCTTGTCGAGCGGTCAGCCGCTTCAATAGAGAATAGAAATCCGACGTTTCGGAGAATGTTTCCGTTTGTCTCTGTTACCACAAATTAATGATGCAGGTGACACAGTGAGAATAATTTGTTGCATTTAGTTGAGAATAAAAACGGAGAAGATCGGGACGTATCTTTGTATCTATTCTACTACATTACTAATTTGTCATCTACTATTGATCGGCAAGTGTCTTAAAAACAAACACTTGCTTTATTGGTGTGATGAACGAAATGACATGCAGATTTCGTGGTAGAAGTACTAAAGAATTTCCATATTTGAAATACTTACCTTCTCAAATGTCACAGTAATTATTCCAAATTTGTATATAACTTAGTCGCTGCCAGTGAAACAGCGTGGATGAATAACTAATAATCAGTCATGAGACTTACCACAGCGGTACTTCCAGTTGGAAAATTTAAGTATCTCTTCCATCTAGACAGCTTCTTCTCCCATCCTAGATGTTCAAAGTCACTTCGACAAAACTGAATCAAGGCCATTGTGAGGACTAGCGAGGCACAATTTTTCATGACGGTGATACCGTAAGCATTGGCTGCTAACCTATGGAGCACAAACAGTGTCGATAACAGATTATATTTCCGCATGTTCTTATTTTATGTGTTCAAATTTTTGTTGTTCAAATCGGGAAGAGTTGTAATGCACCACCTAACTTAGCGGCGAAGCAGCACTCCTCTTTCGTACTTCGTAAGTCCTTGGTTTGAATTTCACACCATATAAGTGCAACATGTGTCATGTTGAGGGACACGTTCGTTGCTGGTAAATTTTGGTAGAGGAGATTTAAACACAAAAAGTTTCCTCTCTTCCACATAAGAAATTTAAACGGTAGCCGTGTTAGTGTAGCGTATGACATAATGTAAGATGTGCGGAGATACTGATATTTATCTTCGTATAAACTGTTCATTGTCGTTGTCCGATTTTCACCAAAACTGAAAGGTGTTTTTATCTTCGTATAAACTGTTCATTGTCATTGTCCGATTTTTACCAAAACTGAAAGGTGTCGATAAATTTTAGTTAGCCTTCCGTGTATCAATTTTCACAAAAATTTATTCAGTATTTGAAGAATTGTTAAATGCGGATAGGCAGACATGGCGAAACTAATCGACGCATTTTAACGTCTGCCTGTTCGGAAACCAACCAAAAATGTGAAAAGTATTTGTGTAAAAATTATTGTTTTAAGATAAATATAAGATATATGCATGTGTAATTAAGATGAAGGTAAGTAAAACGTAAGATTGATATCGTGTTAACGTTTGCTGCTTTGATGAATCGTCCCCACTATCTTTTCGAATACTTATGCTTAGACTTAGAATTGGTTTGTGATGTTTTCTGGATACTTACTGGCAAACGGGTGCTTCGCTGAGGTTTTACAGCCCAGGGAGGGAGTACTTTTCCTCCATACTGTAGCTCTTCCGTTAGCCCGTGGTGTTTACTCCCCTCAGAGCCATTTTGGAACATGTGACAGCAACTGGACTGAATGACAGTCGTATATTGAGCTTATTAATAGAATAAATAAATGCATGTTTATTCTTATTTGAAGTTTACAGAAGCAATAACAAAGTTCAGTAAACGGAAGGCTTGTGGATTGTACATTTAACCATTCGATTTCTCACACTAATACTGATTACCATAACATTAACTCCTTGTGTTTGTTGATGGACAACAGCTAGCTGCCTTCAAAGTTCAGTTTCACAGCTATCTTTCTTTTATAACTCAGTCATAATTATTATCATCACCTTCGTCATCTTGATGTCTGATGCGGGCCATACTTTATCACATGCTACATTTATAGGGATTAGGCTCAAAAATTTGAATTGTGATCTGTGCGTTACGATGCAATTCAGGCTTGTAGTGTTCTATATTTCCTTCTACTCTGCATATGAAGGCGATACATAGGTTTCTGTGAAATGTTCGTAACCACCTGTAAGACTATAGTCTAAACACTTATAAGAATGTCGCGATAATTGGACCGTGATTCGATTCAAAAGACCACCCATTTTCTGGGGAAGTGTCTTTTACATGGGTATTCAGTTTCTGACCTTTCGTAAGGTCCGGCGAATGGATGGGCCGCAGAGAATTGTTACGTAATGTGGTATTTTCAGTAGGTTCTAGTTCAATTATTTCGGTAGCATCACAACAGAGAAGACAAAAATTCGTTCTCTGGTCTATTGATTTCTGAGGACTCCAGCCAGTTCTAATATTACGTTACTTTCTAGAGAAACGCGTTGTTATGGAGACAAACTCAAGCTTGCCCTCCTAGCTACTTCCCTTCCACACGTCACTCGGCATAATCACGACACTGGCAGCAGTATTAGCCCTTTGCGTCTTATACTTTTCCGAAGGATGACAAAGGATGAAACGCATGTATCCAGAATGTAATAATAGAATTGTTTAGAAATTTCATGGTCGTCTTCACATTGCCTGATGTATGTTTTTCACTGACAAGACACTGTTTAATAAGAAGATTTTAAAGTAGCTTTTCATGCATGATTCTGAGTTTCGAATTATTGATTTTTAGTTGTGTATGTAACAAAGTTCTTTTCCAAACAACATTTCAGTTTTTAAACAATAATCGTGTATTATTATTACAAGGAAATTAATATCCATTTCCGTCAGATTTGTCTTGATGTGACCAACATATATTTTGGGTTTAAATGCCGTCTCCGTAATAAACATTTCCCTGCCTCATTTGCTTTAGGTTTTCCCCCCCAAGTATTTTCATCATCGGAATTATAGTGTACAGCAGGCGTGTCCAACCTTTTTTTGTTGGCAACTTCGGCAAAATTTGGTTGTATGCGGGCAACATGAAGTTCAGTACATAAACTGTGGAACGTATACGTATAATGCTATATATATGCATACACTTTTATCTGCGTATTTTTCTATACATTATATACAGTAAAAAATTTCTGATAATGTAAAAAATTTTGTAAAAAAATTCAACTCTGCAATTGGCTACACCGATCAACAGATATACAAGTGTTTCGTTGTTTAGCAAGACTTTTGCTGATTTGATATTTTAAATCACGAAGTCATAGTTATGCTACAAGTGTAAGGATGACGACGATGCTTCTCTGGTTTGTGACGGAGAAATGTCCTGTCTCTGTCTTCAGGGCTAAACGTGGATGGAGATTACATTTGTCGAAAACATTGATATCTATCTGCAAGTCTGCACAGCGTCACAACCCAGAGAAGCAAAATCCACACAGACGTATTGACTTCTGAATTAATAATCACTGTGCCGCTGTCCATCCGATGTTTTGTGTGAAGGCTTTATTTATACTCCACACATTACATAGCACTAAGATAGCTATTACTATAGGTAGCTGACAAACCAGGAATCATCAATCTCTGTTCTGTCAGCTATTGTAAATATAAACTTGTCCCTAATGCTTAACTATGAACCACGCCTTTGGGGGAATGTCATTATGACGCCCCAGCCGATGTAAATATCGGAGCAAAAATTGTATGTGTTCTGCCATGTGGTCATTTGAGTCGTATCCCCTACCTCGTTCTGTATCTGACTAGACGTGGGATGTCGTGCAACGCAGAGAAGCAGCGTACAGTGCAAAAAGGTATTTCAGCCTTCGACCCTTCCACTTTCAACTGACAGCATTTGTCTGGCAGTGACAGGTACTTGATATGTCCTGTCCATTTCATTGACAGGAACATTGAAGCTACGTCAACATAGTTATGGTATTAATTAATAGTTATTTCAGACTATGTTTCATTTAAATTATTAATAATAAATATTGAACCAAAAACAAAAGAGCATATCTGGTGGACAAAATTATGAGCTTGGAAAGAAAGATTAAGAACAATAATATTAGAGGCTTGTACAGAGGCATAAATAAATTTATAAAGGGTTATAAACCTAGAAAGATTTTCTCAAAAATGAGAATGGTCATCGACTTGTTCCGTAGATCGGATATATTCGTATGAAAATTTTGACTGAGATCGATTTCAGGAATAAGATTGTGAAGTATTGACGTAGTTACTGAACAACCTGTATCTTATGATAATATCGAGTTCAGTGAATCTAATGATGCATGCTACCTAAATAAGTGATTCTTCTAACATGTATTTGAGATGCATGTCTCAGTGGAGTTTCGTTATAATAACTGAGGCTTACGAAACAAAATATATAATTGCACATCTAAATAAATAATAAAAATATGTTTTTTACTCTCTTTATACCATCAGATGCAGTTAAATGGCATATTAAATAAGCAAAGAACAGACCTAAACAGACACTATACACATATTTGGTTTTTGCACTTGTAGAAATATATTCGGATCCTGTTCAGCTTTCCATGGCAATATGTTATAAAGAATTTATAATTACTATTCTTTTTCTGCAGCTTTAGCGGAAACATAGAGATGCATTCGATGCTAATTATACGGCATTATTAATATATTCTCGAAACTGACTTGCCTTTGCGAATTACTAAATTACAAAGACATGAATTTTATAAAGCGTGTGGGCGTGGACTCATGCTTTCAAAGTAACCAGATATAGAGACTGAAGTAAATATTTAGGAACACAATTCAGGACCCTTATTTATTTCATTTATTTGTGGTTTATTTAACGACACTGTCAGTAACAAAACTACGAATATATAGCCCAGATTGATAGAATGATAAGGAATTGAAACGTATATGTAAGAAAGAGCCATTGGTCTATCGGAATGAACAATAAAATAATTTCCTGCAGTTGTTATGTTGTGATGTCTTAATATCAGTTACATGTAGTTTATGCTAGTTATAATAATGCTCATAAATAGCAATAAATCGTGCACTATGCTTCGAAGTTTGTCTGTATTTTTGGCCATGAATAATATTTCCTGACACGAGTTTTGATTGTTAGGAATCTCTCTGAACAGGCTGGTAATATACGAGGGCGTTTCAAAAAGTAACAGCAAATTGACAATATTTCACGAAACGAATACCCCAGGCATTTCAAACTCCCGCACAGGGAAGATACGTTCTTAGAGAAGGTTTTTGACACTGCCCAATAAATGGCGTGGCGTACTTAATTGGAAGGGATGCATAAACGAAATGACGGCACCCTTAGCTGCTTGCACCGTAGAGGAGCAGCGAGCAATCATCAGATTTTTGTGGTCGGAGGGTGTGAAACCTCGTGAAATTCATAGAAGAATGCTGCATTGGCGAGAGAAGAGTGTACGAGTGGGTAGATGCGTTTAAAAATGGGCGAACATCAATCTGTGGTGACCAACGCACGCCCTCACACCATTCGGAGATTGAGATTTCAGATCTTACAGCCCTGACCTTGCTCCCTCTGATTATCATGTGTTTGGACCCCTGAAGAACGAAGATTTCGGAATGATGACGAAGTCAAAGAAGTGGTGCATTCCTGGCTGAAGGCACAACCAAAACATTTTTTTCTGATGGAATAAATAAGTTGGTGCAACTGTGTGAGAAGTGTATTGAAAAGGCGGGTTATTATGTATAAAAATGACATATCATTTGTATCTCTAATTAAATTATATATTTCAAAATATTTAATTTGCTGTTATTTTTTGAAACACCCTCGTACGTCTACGCTACCATCCCTTAAATAAAAAATGATATGTCTGTATATAAACATATATGTGTAAGCGTATACCTGCATCAGAATGCCCTTGATGGTAACCAGCTTCGCAAATATTCATCTGGGTGTGACATTAATGAACAACAGCACCAGTGAATTATGAACAAATTCGGAAAATATGTATTCTCCGTACCAGAGAACACATTTTAACTTTTGTTATTTTAATATCAAAGCTAGAAGAATACATTTTGTGTTAGACGAATTTATTTTATTAGAGAAATTAACGTTGCTGACTCTCCAGTGATCTGACTTTTCGTCCGAAGAGAGCATAATTAGTACATAAGACTCGTGTGTGATAAATAAAGTTTCCTTAAGCCATTGACTCCAGCTCAGAAGTTAATCTTTGGAAATTGCTACACTGCAAAGTTTAATTTGTGGACATGGTTGTAGATCATAGTAACCGCCTTTAAACACGTTTCCGTTTTTGACTCCTGACTTTATCAATGTTTTTTAATTGTTGTTTACTAAGATAAATAATATTGAAGCCTCCATTAAAATGCATTAAATTATAAGGGCATTGGATGTTGAAATAAGTATTTACATTAAACAAATCAAAATACCTTCTTATACAATGTGGCATATGAAATCTATGTCTATTACCAGTTAATGTCAGTGCCGAATGTAGCTATTCTTTGGTGGCTGCAGATAGAGTTTTATTCATGGCGAATCTTAGGGATGATTAACAGTTTAAGTCACAAGTATTGAAACTGTGATAAGGGCTTGCTTCTTCTGGCAAGGATATATATTTTATTCCTATCATTGGTTTATTCATGATATGTAATACATTTATGTTTATTGCACTGCGAGTATTTTTCGTTTTGTATCGAATGTCTCTTTTAAGTTACGCCTGCACACATAATTCTAACTATGGACAGAATTTGTTTGTTCTGTAAATCTCAGTAGCTGATCGAGGGTCAGGTTTGTACTTGTTCAGGAGATGATCGGATTCAGCAAAGAGTAAGTACACTCTGTGGACCAGTTCACGCAGGTTTCCTGGCTCCCTGCTAATTCGTATTCTTCTGAATCAACCCCGCATTCACCACTTCCGCTTGGAAGTCTGCACAGAAAACAAAATAGGATGGACACTGGTGTCAACATAAATAATGCGCGGACCTTCAAACGAGATATCGGCTTTGCGTTATGCAAAGAGTGGTCAGGATATAATGCTGCCATAATAATTAAAATCCATACGATTATTCGAGCTACGCTGAAACAAGATATGATAGTTTTAATGCTTGGATCTTGGAAATAATTATATATATATATATATATATATGACAGGGAGTAGTGAAATTATTATAAATAGACATGTTTGAAAATTAAAATAATATGGCTGTAATATAGAGGATGTGGCACATAGTCTTTGTTGTGCAGCTCAGTGTAATACAGTGCTAAGTCACGTGAGGTTTGAACCTTTAGTCTGTCACTAATCTTAAGAAAATGAAAATGATTTTTTTTTCAGTATAACCATAGCCAGTTACCTCAAGCTCTCCAAATATTACGCATATTAAATTTGCCTCCGAGAATAACCAGCTCCTAAAGTAATTGCTTTGTATCAAATATTACGCATATTAAATTTGCCTCAGACAATAACCAGCTCTTAAAGTAATTGCTTTTTATGTTCGTCGAACATTACTAAAAACCTTTAGAGAATCAAGAAATTCTTCTGACCAAAAATACTAACCGGTTTAATATCCATTCAAATCAAAGCACCCTAGAACTCTGCTCAGCGAAACTTGTTAAATATTTAGTACGAATATTAATTTGATGCAAACATCTGTGCATTTCAAGCGTGTACTCACCTGAATATGGTATGCATTACATCCTCGACGAATGACCTTCCGGGCTTCAGAAGATACTTAGCCTCACATAAAGCGCGATAAATACACGTGCGACCATCTTCTCCTTGGCTGTAATTAAATAGATTCGAATATGTCGTGTTTATTTTTTATGATATTTAAAAAAATCTGTGTACTGCTTCAGGTGAGACCGTAACTACTGATCTATTGTATCGATGCTTTTTGAACAACGTGTACTTCAGTGGAAAGTGTTGAAATCGTTAATTTACTCACGCAGCCAGCGCATTCTCGATTTGGTGGTACAGTTCACGTCGCTCCAGCCAGTGTTGATTTTGAGTCTGATACAGAATGCCCTGCCTTCTAGAGGCCATCTTGTGTGTGGGGAAGAGATTAGTCATGTTTGGGAGCTTGAAGACGAGATCAAACTCCATGATTGAATTCCATGGCGGACGACCAAATGTCGGAACATCCCACATCAGGCCCTTTGTATTAGACATCGTCATCTGTACACATAGAGTTAAGACAGTTAATACATAACAATTAACAACAATTTGTATGAGTGAAAATTATGTCTTACCGGATTTCGTAAACCACGAAATGAGGCTTATTTAGAGATTGGATTAAATGTATGAATCTTCAAAATTTGTATTATACACAAAATAGGATATGGAAGGAGGCAGAGTTGCATAATTAAAGGTGCTACCCTTACGTTTTCGTGATGAGTCTGAGCAAAACGACGAAATATTTCAGGATAGCCTATCTGATCGATATCTGAATCCGAAGGAGTGCTAACCACTCGACCGTGACGTTTGATTGGATAATATGAAAATAATTAATTTATCGCTTGATAATTTTACTTTTATTAACAAATGTCGATCTGTTTATTTATATATTTAATTGAAAAGTAACAATTTGTGAAAGCTTTTTATAAGTAATAACAATTTTTTTTAAATATTTTAATGTCACGTGAGTTTCGACACACAACAGGCTATATCCGACACATCGTTCTTAAATGTTGTATGAAACACCGTTACACGGAATATTAAACTAAAAGTTTAACAAAATGGTTTATCGTCGTTTTATATGCAAAGTCGCCATGCTGAGAGGATATTAACCTAGAGATTCACAAGCTTAAATTACGTACAGCATCCTTGACGTGGGGATGACAAATCGTGAAATGCAGTTATTTATTCCGTAAGCCAAAGTGTGGATAAATTGCGGGGTAATTTATCTGCAGAAATTATGAGACAAGTAAGGGTAAGTAGATGGGGCAACATTGCACGAATTCTCATAACAGCTCTGAACTACAAATTAACGCACTTGCTAATGTTCAACAGGAAGATCAAATATATTTTAATGTACTTCAGTTCTGTTCTTCGAATAAAGAGAATAATGCAAATATTCTGCAGATTATGTAATTCGAAGATTATGTTTTATATTGCACAGATGTACAGAAACCCCTCGCCCTTCGCGAGGGTTACGTGTTTGGAAAATACCACCGTCGGCAAGACCATGACATTATGGAAAATTTGGGGTTAGGGAATTGACCGCTGTTAACACTCCTCAGATCCAAAGTACATACACTTTTAGCCGCAGAGCCTAGCTGGAAGAGACCAAATTTGATCACACAAAGGAGGGCTTGAATATGTGGACTGGCTTTAACTCTCCGTTACAGCCTTATCTCAAGCTAACTTAGATCTTGGGTGCCTTGTTCCGAAAATCACTGGAATTCTCCTTGTGTTTACAAATTAAATTATTGGATACGTACAAGTCAATACCACTGTTGATAACGTTGGATAGGCCTATATTACCGATGTCAGGTTCTGTAGAATGCAAACATTTAACATGGATATTACACCGTTTGACAGTAGAGACGAATTTAGAGTTTCGCTGGAAGCAATAAAACATTTACAGTAGACATGCTAAGTACTGGCGTAGAAGCAGCTAATGATTGGCACTTACTTTTGACAACTTTTGTAATTACTAATTTCACTTACCACAAATGTGCTTCCTTCAGGAAACGTGAGATACCGTCTCTTTCTAGATAGTCTTTCCTCATCTGTACCATTTTCTAAACCATCGACACGATAATACATGGTAATAGCGAAGAACACTGCAAAACAGAAATGGCATTTCATTTGTGACAGCTTCGCTGTGTTGTAATTGGCGCGGAGCGATAATGGTGCTTAGCAGATACACGTCTCGTAACAACTTGGGTAGAAGTAATGAGAAACAAGGTTTGTCGGTGGCATTACAAGCTGTTTAAGGAAGGACAACTAATTCTCTTCTAACGCTCCGGGTTATGGGAGTGCCAGTATGCTCCGTGAGGGGTGACCAGATTTTAAACAAGTTTCTCTGATGTCACTGGATCCGGAAATGTATTTAATTCATAGATAGTCAATACTTCTCCCATGATATTCGTCTTCTATATCTTGTTCGTGGCATACGTTTTGTCTCTCGGAATGTGTTTCGCGCATGTTACATTAGTTCTTGGTTACCGTGTTGTACACTAAATAATATCACACTTCGCTCAGCACGTTACCTTCTCAGCATTTTGCACGGAACCCAATATATTATCCCTTAAATAAATTTAGTTTCTGGTTAGGTTCTTTCAAATATTTCTACGGTATAAGCTATTCTAAAATTCTTTATGACAACCATTTCACCTTATTCCACTCCATATCATATTTATAGTCGATAGAACGTCTGTGAATAACCTGCGAATCGACCAAAAGGACTTTGCTCCGTGGATTTGAACTGGTTTCATTAAATAAATAGTGTTTGTTGATCCCTGTGGCGTAGAACAGTTAGTGTGACTGATTTGAAACAAGAGCACGCTTCTAGCTGTGACCACTGAGACGCCAAGCAGAGTAAAGTATAAAGGCCTGTCTGACGCTGACAACTGAGTGAAACGATTTTTAAGACGAACATTGATTATTCAGAGATGTTTACAGGTTCAGTGACGTTGGGTTGTTGGCATTGGATCCTAAACTTCGCCTCCATCATTTACTGACGTATATCAGAGGTAGAGGCAAACGCATTACAGGACCAAAGTAGTTTCATGAGGTAAAGGGTCTCACACAAATTTCCTCTCTGTTTTATGGAATACGAATCTGCGTGTTTTAATTAGCATCAGTTCAGACTAACAAACTGGCCTTTCATTTCATCATCAAAGATCCGTTTAATTTACTGAAATGATTAGAGGAATTAATTTTCCCATCAGATATCTGAATCCTAACGAGAAAAACGATACAAGTTTGCAATTGCTAAGAAATCAAAGTAATGTCTCTCTACAGATACAAGTAACTGAACTCGGTTTTTTGACTGGATTGTGAATATGTAATTACAGATTTAGAATTTTTTAACTTTTTGATTTTATTCGTTTCATTCTTAAACTAGAAATTAATCTTCAGGATTAACAGCATTGAGTCTACTGCATCAGTTTTGAAAATACTGCTATCGATTGGCTTTTGAAGTAGAGAGATTCTTCTCTGTTTCGCAGTCGCCTTTTACAACGAGGTAAGACACAGTATTCCCTCTGCCACCAGTTTGAGGTTGTTCTTCAGACAAGATCCTTGTAATTACAAAACATTACGGTAGCTAATCTGGATAAGAGAGCAGTCTCCCACACCTGTGATAATCCCTGCATCTATATTAAGTAGGGTTGAAAGAGGCTCCCATCTGTGCTTTCCCAGTCAAACTTCTGGGTGGATTGCTAATCTTAGTTTCAGTTTTCACGGATTAGTACCTCCGTCCTGTTCAAATTCAGAACTAATTCTAAAACTGAGTTATTCGAAATTAAATGGGAGTATCGGGACGGTGATTCAGCAGAGAGCATGATTTTTCCTAACACAAACAAACAAACAGGTAAACTTATTAACGTATACAAATTACAGCATGAACACTTCATATGTAGCGTTTTTGAACAAGGTAAGAGGTGGAATTCCTTATTCGATTTTATTGATCATAAAAAGGCAAAAACATTTATTAGTTATGCAGAAATGTGAATAGTAAGAAAATGGGATACCTTATTACATATAGGCCGGAGGTTGTAGAGTGTTCACAGCTTGAGAGAATTATCATGTACTTTTTCGGTGGATGAAATTACCTGTGGGCGAATAGCAATGGATATTTTCGTAGAAATTATTTTGTATGAGAAGCATGTGGATTAATACGATAACATGGATTGAAAACATTTGAGAACGTAGTACCGAAACAGAATTTTTAAACTTCAGATGTGTGAAATGAAAAACAAGAACCAGAACATAGATATTACACGGGTGATTAAATATAGGAAATTATAAATGCGTTACTTATACAGATTTAGCCGGAAAAGCCGAAGGGTAGCGATTACCTGAGAGAACTAGGCATAGATGGTAGGGTTAAAATTGATTATCTGTAAATACGATGTGAAGGTGTGTGCTGGATTCAGTTGGCTCAGGTTAACGTCGGGTCATCGGCTCATGCGTTTTGCAGAGGGCAGCTTGACGTATTTGACCAGCTGAGCGATTATCAGATTATTCATTAAGGCTCTGTTACATCCAGTCATTTTGTTATTCATATAATATTTATTAGTATATTTTGTTTAAAATTGTTCTTTAGTCGAAAAATGATTACATTCTGAGCTATAGATATGAGCACTAAAGGTATTTTGGTTCTGGAATGGACATAACTCACACACAGACGTGATCTTGTCAACTTCCGTTTCATTGTCAGTGTAGTGGGATATTGACTACGAACAGGTATGATAACATTAGTGGAGCTTTATGAAGACTGATTTTATTTAGCGCAGTTTGAAGTCATTTTGTTATTCATATAATATCAGAGAGCAATTAAAATGTGTGTACACATACACACACACGTCAGTTCTATACTTTTAAAAACTGCTGTTTTATCGCTGGTTTATAAATCTTGGACATTATTTTTTTTCTTAGTTTCGAATTAATTTTATGGAAAATTCCTGCCGTTTAATTTAGGGTTACTCTCCCGAATAATGCTCTGAATGCTTATTAACCACGTGAAGAATTATTAGTTCCTTAAGAAACGGTGTGTACTAGGGAATGAATAAATTTAATTTAATTTTGGTTTCATGGCTTAGTGTGTAGCCAGTTTGTACCACTTGGTGTAGTTGAGAAAAATTTGATTGTTTTTTAATTCATTCAGTCCAAAACAAGAATTGCATTTTAAGATTGGGATAGTTTTCGCTGCAAGTTACAGAATTTTGCAAAAATCTGTTAGTCGAAGCGACACGTGGTGGATTAGATACGTCAAAACAATTTAAGTCTTTTCAAATGGTAGGCCTCAAGGCGAACAAGAAAGTTGTGAAATTCGTTTTGTTTTTGTTTAACGTGTTCTGTGACGTTCGTAGAAGAAAATACGCCGAGTTTCACCAATGCAGTTCTTAAATATTCTTGAAATTTCTGTAAATGAAATGGGATAGAAGCGACGTGAATTCTGAGCCAATACGAGAGGCAAAATCTACATGCAGGTAGACGACTGTAATAGGCTGCGGTCTGTACTCATAATACAATGCATGCTTTTTTTAACCACATGGAAAAACTATAATTTGTATTTTTATTGATACACTTCGGGAGGCGAAGTAAGATTATATGATGGCTATATTCTGGGTTGTAGAGCTGTGTAGTCTGTAGAAGTATACCAACGTTTCAGAGGTCCCTGTTGCCTCCATCTTTAGGGCATTGATGAAGACAGCCATATTTGGACTCATCGCTGTGAAAACTTCAAATTATACTTAATTCTTTATATGTTATACGTTTTGGAAGGATTTTTTAAAATGTTTGTTTGCACGTTTTTTTATGAACCCACTCAAAATTGAGATAATTTAAAATTTGCGTTTGATATATCTATAGTCTTGTCTCTCATGACTGTTTACAGCCGGCAGAATGATGTTTTTTTTCTGGAATATGAACATAAAAACATGAACGATGTTTTCATCAGCATTATCGTCAATTCCGCTATTAATACTGTTAAAACTTCCTGCTGGATCTGTAAAGTAAATCATTCTCGCTGTTTTAGAGGTCTTGCTAAACCTATATCGTTTTGTAATTCTGTCAGAGCTTATTATGTAACGTTCTTTTCGGCTCTCCCGTATTCTATAAATAAGCAATGTTTTGTAATTTGTAGATATCATGCTGTATTAGTTTCTGTTATTTTCAGGAAGCATTTATATCTTAGAACTTCTTACGGAACGCCATTCTGCTAAACTTAATCTTATCTCATCAGTAAAATCGTTTAAACTGTAAATTGTGATACATAGAACGTTATAGAAATTCGAATAGAGAAACTGACCTGTGTAGGATAGGATAAGAAATCGATAAATTGGGTACTTGTGACATCATGTGAGTGTGGAAGGTTCGAGCAATGAGGTTGGACAGGTAGGGAACAAAGCGGAGCAGTTGTGTGTTTCACGATGCGCTCGGTCATAAATCTGGTAGCTTTCTTCAAACTCCGGCTCCGTGCTCGGAGGAAATCTGCAACATAACACTGGAACTGAGTAATAATACCATTACAAATTTAATGTTTGTCTTGTGAAATCAGAGGACCTAATCTAAGAAAGTTATAGAAAAGAATATAATATTTAGTCTCCGGGTGTTCCGCTGTGTTATGTTTGTTTAAAATGTGATTTGCAATGACTACAAATAAACGTCTGTTCCAGACTATTGAGTGGAATATTTCTACCTAGAACTCGCCCCAGCATTGGAAAAATTTTACATTTCCATGTGTATATGTATATATATATATATATATGCATGCTTCTGAATACTGTTTTAGGCAGCTGAGAAATTCGATGGTTTCTTTCTTCATGTATGGATTGTTATTTTGCGGCATTTATATACGGGACTATGTTCTGATTTTAAGATTTTGCCTATACTTTTAGGCGGAAAGAGTAGGGAAAAAGAAAGCTACGATTTGCAGGTTTGTTAGAGGTGAAGACGACTGTCGTCTGGGATGATGCGCCGCGTAGTCTTGTAGAAATTGGTCGAAATGTTAGAGGTAGCTTACTGCAGACACATTTTTGTTACTTAAAAATTAACTGAAGTTTGGATTGCCCTGGTGGTGAAGGCAGTAAGCACCTCTGAAATTACGACTTATTTCTGCGAGACTGCACTGCCAAACGTCCCAGAAGACGCAGTCAGAACCTGAAATCTTAATTTGTTAGGTTAGGTTTGAAGTAGCTTACGTGAATACAGAGTAGAGAATCTCTTGCAAAAATGTCCCTTTCTCAGGTCTCCGTCTGCCGGACTCACATAGGGCACGCAAGACACACTGGCGGCCGTCTAGACCCATTCTGAAATCAGGAAGTTGGAGATCTTACAAGGCACGGCGTATGTTATATCAATATTTCAGTCACCTCTCTTGTGAGAAACTAGATTTCGCTGTGTAGTTTCACAAATCACAAGATAACATACAGCAAATTACTATTCATAACTGAAGACATTTTATTACAGTCCCTTTAGAAAGCCACACAGCACACAAATAAAATGGAAATAGTGTACATATGTACTTAAATATAAATACGAATAGTGTCACGTATTTTTATGAACATGAATATACACGATGGATAATTAAAATAATTTTTACCGCCTTTAGACTACGAATAAATATTGTTGAGATGGAAAGAAAGAATTTACTATTTTTGAGCATTTATTGTAAATGTAACAATAATTACACATTAATGTTTCTCCTTCTTATTCCTGTTCATTTTTAACTTCTAATATTACGTATGGGATACTTGTTGAAAAGCATTCTTCACATCCTCCCGAAGTTTACCATTTCTTCTAGGTAACTAAGTAGATATTTTGAAACTACGGACAAGTCCAATGTCGCTTTCACGTAAATTCAACTAAATTAATTAATTTAAGAATCTATAATTTAATTTTATCAATAATAGGTAACGTGATTAGTATTATACAAATGGATTTTCTACTGAAGATGGAAACAGTTCCTGTACCTTCCTACAAGTTTAATCGGCGTCAAATATAGGAGATCACCATCGAAACCTCACCTATTTATTTATTAAACTGATTTATCGACGCCGGGTATTATGTAATGTTGGTGGCAACAAGAACTTGAGGGATAAGCGAGTAAGGTATTTGATAAAAATAGATGTGTTTTCATTCACGGTATCCGCCTGGATAGACCCAGGAAAAGCACGTTAATCTCAGCCAAGATAGTCGATTGCCCAACCGAGTTTTGAACCGTGTACCTCCTGAATACAAGTTTACAGTGGCAGTGATAATACTAACCGAACCTCTTTTTACCGATAAGAAATTAGTACCATAAATAAATCAGAATAAAAGCCAGCGAAGTATTGAAAAACTTTATAAAAGCTTTGAAAAGTACTAGTGCTTCAAGC